GGAGGCTGCTGAGATAGCAGAGGAATCAGCAGAGCTCCCAGTTGATTTAGTCCATCTTTGGAGGTGTTCTGTGGCTCAGGTCTCTCAAAAGGAACTGGTCTTCATCATATTTAAACAAAGAAATCAAAGTAATTTGGTTAATGGGCATTAAAGTACTGTTGCAAAAGTGATGGAGTCACCAAACAGCAAAAAAAAAAAAATGCCCTATATTTTCCTATTGTCAGCCAAGATGCTAAGATGAAATTCAGAAGCTGAAGAAGTCTTCAAGGAATGTTGATGGTCAGTAGCCCTGTAGTGACAATCTTAGGAGGTTGTGTAAGTCATCTTGAGGGTGGCTCAGGGACCTTTGCTACGGTACACAAGGCAAGCCTATTCTCGCTGGTAACTGGATTCCATTAGCTAATCTTGCTCCCTTAACAATGGGGCTGGATGTTGGGCATGCTTAGTCAATCAAGTAGCTCGTAAGTATGACTGTGGTGCTGGATAGCTCACCCAGGTCAAAGGCATGATCCAAAACCAAGTCTACACATACACTAAATCCAGAAGCCAGGAAGCTGGTATAAGCCATGTCCCTAAAGCCAAGAGGGAAATTCAACAACTGAGTACAATGCACAAGCAGAATTTAAGAGCCAAGAAGACAATCCGGGAGTTGAGTTGCTAAAACAATAGTATGTTCAAAGCCAGTTGAGGTCAATGGTTGGTTGGAAAGTTTGGGTCATAATGGGCAGTGAAGCTCTTCTAGGAAGACCAGCCAAGAGAGCAGGAGGAGTCATTTTGAAGTTGCCACGTGTTTAGCTGTCCCAAGCTTTCATTTAGCCTTTACATTACATTCATGAATGAAGACAATACTAGAGTAAAGACACCAGCAAGGAATGTTGTAACACAACCAGCTCCATTTTCTTCTCTTCTTCTACCAGCAAAACCTACTACTCCTAGACTGGAAGGAAATGCGCGAAAATGTTTTCAGAGGGGATGGATATGATTTTGCTTTGTCCCTTCTATCTACCTCTCTAAAAGGTTCCCCTTTTGGATATATATTATTTTTATAGCCAACAAAATATAGAGTACACTATAAAAACAGAAAAAGAGGAACATTTACCATTCCTTATCTTAGTCATTAAGGTCTGCTGACACTGCTAGATACATTACAGTAGATATTTCTAGAAAGTGTTATGGGCAGTACTGATGTACCCAATTCCAGTGTCACATATCTCTTCTTACAAAAAAATACAGTCCCTTGTTTCCCAATAGTGGTGACTCAGGCTACTGTGGATGGCTAGCAGGACTGCTATTCTTAAACAAGCAGGATGGTTGGCTTTCCCCAAATTATACCCATGGGCAGTCATCTCCTTTGGTTACATGTACTCCTTCTTTTGGGTCACTGGAGTATCTCTGACATTGTAGACTGAGGAGGAAGGGGGAAAAAAATAAAGGGCATAATATCAGCACACGCACAATCCAGTGAGGCATCCACAGGATAAATATCTCCGCTGAGAGAATGCATCTCTAACTGACTAAAGCAAAGATTGGGACAAAGTGGAAAAGAAAATACCATTCTCACGTTCGGCTGCTTTGATTAACTCTACCCATACAATCAATTCTGCTAGAACACTTGTTTTGAAAACAGGAATGTGTTCCAATGTGGAAACTGAACCTAGTTAAACACACACAGCAAAGGAATACACAAAACACACACACACAGGCACACATGCACATCTCAACATCACTCAGCTACCCCAGTTCACTGTGTGTGTTACGAGCCACACCCATCCACATCTGGTATTATAATTTCCCATGTGATCTCAGCTGATCCTCCTTCCAGCTTTTCAGTTATTCACAAGCATCTACCTTCTGATGCCCACTGTCATAGTCCAACCTCATGTCATTTTCAAGACAAAGTGCCCTATTTATTTTTGTATTTGTCTATGTCTCTACTATTTAATTATGTATAAAACTGTGCTACAATTTGTATTCACTATTCTCTGTTTTTTATGTGTCACTGATAAAGCTCTTGATTGTTTTACTTCTAACCCCATTTACTGCACAAGTCCTATGGTTTTTCTTATGTGATTCTGATCAGCACAGTGATTTTTAGGGACACATCATGTGACACACGTTAAAGAGCTGATCTATGCAAAGCTCTGCTCTTGGCATAGTGAAAAAGATCAGATAGAACTCAGGCAGTGTGTCCACGCAGTAACTCCTTTCCAGAACCTTAGGGGAAATGTTTGCTTTTCTAAATCTGAAAGCTCAAGGAAAATTAGTTTAGAGACTGGGAAAATGGGAGAAAGTATGATAATCCTCTGGTGAGAATTACAATTTAACAATTAATATGAAGACATTACTGGCTCTATAAGCCTCATGGTAATATATCCTCAAAGATATATTATAGGCTTGAAATCTGGGATCCAAAGTCCCTGGAACCATATGCCATATCCCACAACTGTTCTCATTTCTCTCTTGACCAGTTAGAGTTAGAATTCAGAACCAGCTAATTAATATTTTTTTAAAACTCAGGCTTGAGACTGAGGCCCCATTACAATATGCACATGTGTGCACATATACACACACACACACGAGAGAGACCAAGGTTATAAAAATCTCCTTGGTATTTTAAAAGAGCAGCCTCCCTTGGCCCAGAAGTCCCAGTCACTATTCAAATGATGGATAGAGGTTTCCATTTCTCACTCAGTCAGCCAGCTCTTTGTCTGCACCCCTTAATTTCAGAGGAAGCAGAAATTCCTCAGCAAGGCCCTTTTGAGGTTCACAAAGGCACAGCTGCCATAAATCAAACATTGGTGGCATTGGTGAAGTCAAGGAATAGTGCTGCAAGTAACATTTTCCTTGACCTTGCTGAGAGAAAGTCAAGTCTAGGGTTTAATGAAATGAAATCTCTACCGTGAACATGAATAAGCCTGCCAGAATAGTTTTCTTTTGAAGTGACTTAACTGGTCTGTGAGAAGATTTAAGCCCAGTCTCCCAGATCCAAAGGCAGAAGCAGCCTTCATCCCCCACCTGAAGGTATAGCCAAGGGAAGACTGTTTTCTAAGCCCAGAGCTCTGTGTAAAGCTAACTAAAGCTGGGACATCTTGAAGGCATTGAAAGAAAATGAAACAAACAAATGAATAGTGAATCCAAGAAGAACCAAACTCACCTGTCTCCTGGCCAGTATTTTCTCTCCACGGGGAAAGGAAAAACCCATCATTAGTAATAGACTAAGAAAAGGATCACATGGTCTACACTCTGGATTCAAAAATTGACTTCTCTTAAACCTGCAGATGAATTAAGTTATGAGTGGATGAAAAGATGTTATAGTTATTCGTACAGTGCAATTATCTGGAGAGATTTTTTCAAAGTACTCTGGTAGAGTCAATAAGCCCACTGAATTTAATTTGAATTCTAAAACTTTTATTAAAGATACTAGTGTGTTTTTATTTTTAAACCAAGAGATAATTTTGTCCCAGTGTTAATTAAGGATTAATGTAGCACAAAGGCAGACGTGGCTTTATAAAACGAATTTTATTTTTTTTCTCTCTTTCTTCTAGCTATCTGGAAAACAGTAAAACAACTAGGGAAAGAATAAAGAACTTCTCTATGTCTTTGATTACCCTTGGTGAAGAAAGGAGTCCCATATTCTCAGTGTTTAATCCTTCTAAGGTTTACTGGGCAGGTCCTAACAGTTTTACCGGGCTTATAAAATAAACTTTTCTGAAGTTGAAATAGTTCACCTTGAGAAAACTTGTTCCAAGTTTTTATGCCCTCTTTTGGGTATGGTCCTGTCCTATGAACCTGATACAATGAGTTCCAGGTGTTGAACTCTGTGTGGGAAGGAGGTCCTGTCATCCCTTAACTTTTCATAAAGAGTCCCTGCCCAGATTAATGATTCTCATGGACTTTTATAGATGATTTTTCTCTGGGCTCTCTTTCAACACCTAACTTATACTTAACTTCTTTATCTTCATACATACCCACGAGAGAGAGAGAGAGAGTGTGTGTGTGACAGAGATATTCAATACAGATAATTTCACATTTTATAATTTTTTTGAGATGGAGTCTCACTTTGTTGCCCAGGCTGGAGTGCAGAGGCACGATCTCGGCTCACTGCAAGCTCTACCTCCTGGGTTCATGCTATTCTCCTGCCTCAGCCTCATGAGTATCAGGAACTACAGCCCGCCTAATTTTTTTGTATTTTTTTAGTAGAGACGGGGTTTCACCATGTTAGCCAGGATGGTCTTTATCTCCTGACCTCATGATCCACCCGCCTTGGCCTCCCAAAGTGCTGGGATTACAGATGTAAGCCACCGCACCTGGCCCACACTTTATAATTTTTAAACAAAACATTCCATAATTACAAATGATATTTATATAATACTTCTAAACTGATAGAGCCATTACAAAGATTTGTGGTAGGAAAAAAGCGATGGACTCCAACAATTCGGGATTGTCCCCAAACTCTATTTCCTGCCACAGAACATAATCCATGTTTCAAACAAAAAATAACACCAAAAAATGACTGACTCACATGAGAACCTATAGATAAAAGCACGATTATGTGAGATAAAGAGTAGGATGGATGAAGAAGAGTCTGAGTTGCAGTCACAATGCTCTACAAGTACCTATATGAATTTAGGAAATAAATCAATCTCTCTGGTGCCAGTGTTTCAAATGCAAATAGTAGATTGCATTGAATGTATCCCTAAAGTTCCTTTGTAACTCTGATATTTTATAACTGCATTTATTTCTTAACAAGTCAGCATGTCTTAAATTGGGAGGCTTTCCAATAAATGCACCTTAAAATTGCTGTTGACCAGGTGGCCATCATATAGTTGTCATTGACTAAAAACTTGGTTAAATAACTTGGTGTGTAGCAGCTTGGTTGTTATGCTTGAGAATAAGAGAGCTGTAAGATTTCAACATTTTAGTTACAAATTCTTTGAAGACCATTAGAAGAAGGAATAGGAGAGTTGGTCACTTCTGTTGGTAATTTCTTTTTTTTTTTTCAATGAGAAAAAATTTTATTAATGACAATCTTGAGTAGTATAAAACTCAGAAGCTCCACTGAGGTGAAGGAAACATGGACATGATACTAAGCAAAGCCTCATCTTTTCCATAAAATGAGTAAGAAGTACATTTGGTGGAGTTTGAGACCAGCCTGGGCAATATAGTGAGACACTGTCTCTAAAAGCATTAAAGCATTAATCCTCACATTTCGATAGGACTATGTAGTTTTCAAGTAAGCAATGTTAGAATGAGTTGTCGAGTTTTATTTATGCAAATATAGTGAGTGACAGATGGCAATTACATGAGGCTATTTGAACAAAGATGCACAAGCCTAAACAATTTCACCTAGGTAAAATATTGATGTCATAACCAAATCATATGGCCCCGTTTCATAAAGGTTACTATATTCTACAGAGACTGAAGAGGTGGCCTTTCTATCCCAGCTTACCCTATTCTTGTTATTGTTTAAATTCTCCTGAAGCTTGTATAACTAGCTGCCATTAGATAAATGCTATTGGCTAGCAGAAGACTGCGGTTCTGTTAATATTAGAACCAGCAGGGGGAACTTGACATTAAAAATCTAGGAACAGAATTTTAGGATGTATCTCATTAGAAACCTGAATTGTGTAACGACTTAAGTAAAAACCATCCCAAAGAATGTGAGCTTTAAGGTGATAATGTCTTTTCAGAGATCGTAGCACATGAAGAACCCACGGACACTACATACACAGACACTACATAGAATATGAACAGTTAGCAGAAAAAGATCTCGTGACTAAAGTGGGGAAGACATCAAAAAAAAAATTTACAAAAGGAAAAAGTTCAGAATACAGGAATATTTACAAGATGTTAAAAAATTATTAATCTTCAGCCAAAATGAGGCCCCTTCGCATTCCCCAAACCTTTTCCTTTCGTTCTTGCTCTCGTTTCTTCCGTTGCTCTTCCTTTGTCTGGAGATGGGGTTGTTTGTAAGTTTTCTTGCAGAAGTTAATTCTGTTGACATGTTGATTTAGGTAATTATTTTCTTTAGATTGCCCCCATGGTTTTAGCCTTCCTTTGTGTGGTTCATAGTTGAGGGGATGAGACAAATTTGCTTTAAGATCAAACACTGGTTTCTTATTGGAGACTGGAGTCTGCGTTGCCTCAGTTGTCAACTTGAATGGGGTAATAACTTTTGGGGTGCCCCCAGACACAGTCACATGTGCAGACTTTCTGGCTGGAGTCTTGGTCAGTGAACGCTTATGCTCATTATCTTTAGTAGCAGCTGAAAACCTGACACCTGTTTTAGCTGCAGAGATAGCAGAGCGCTTGAGTGACCCCTTCAGACCCAAAGTACTCTGATTTGCAGGGCCACAAGATCGGCCTTGCGAGTGTCGTTGGCCGATGGGAGTAGAAGCCACAGAGAGTCTTCCTCTTGGAGGTACTGGAGTCCTGACCCCTCCCTTATTGATGGGATGCTGCTTCAGATCATTCATGGAATTGTGTTCTTCAAAATGTTTCTTTTTTCTCTCAATATATTGATCGATGGACTCCATTTCCTTAAAATGAGCTTCATGAAGCTTCTTAAAGTTTGGAGTAGGAGTAGTGATTGCAGTTCTTTTATTTTTTCCAGGTTTGGATAACTCATCTGTGTAGACAGATTTCTTTTTTTTTTTGAAGGTACCTTTGAATCTTTGTTACCTGAGGAAACAGCATTCTCAGCTCCTTGGTGCTCATCTGGTGGAGAAGGAACATTTGCAGTGGCTCTGAGATCCTCGTTTTCCTGCTTTTCATGATTCTGCGAGTCAGGGTCCACAAGGACAGTCCTGCACCTTCTCCTTGTTTTGGTGACATGGCCAGTTGGCTCTCTCTCAGCTTGTTCCTGGTTGCTGATCTGTATCTCAGTCTCATCACAAGAGGATGCAGAAGTTTGACTTTCATCCTGATTCTCATTTTCTTTTCTTGCCTCATGTTTAACGTGGCCTTTCAAGTCTTTTAAGAACTTGTCTGCCCGCAAGTTGGCCCGGAGACCCAGACCCTTGGTTAAGTTCTGCAGGTCACTGTACTTGAGGGAGTCCAGCTCCTCTAGGGAGGGGATGATCATCGCGATTCAAAATCCCGGCGATACTCAGAAGATGGATCACCAAACCTCGTAAGCGAGGTTCAAATCCCTGGCGCCACTGTTGGTAATTTCTGGTAACATCAAGAGAGCACCAGAAACAAATCTTACAAAATGGGTTTAGAAAAAAATCCTGGAGGCAATAGTAGTATACTCATAAGAAACACTGTGACACAAAATACGCGATGATGGCCAGCCACATTCTGGAGGATATCGCAGTCACTGACAGCACATTGCAAAGTAACTCAAAAGAGCCTACCTCTAAATGTGAAGAAATCTTAGAAATTCATAAACCAATTAATTTTATTTGTATTTTTCTTTTCAGATGAGTGATAAATCATAAAACATATGTGTTAGTCTAAAAGACCTCTTGCATTAAACATAATATTATAATACAGTACAGTGTAACATACCTGTTGGTCTTGATAGGTATCATATAATATTTATAAGTAATGAGAAAGCATTGTCAGAGTTGCATCAACAACTTTTTCTCATCTGCATATGTAAATTAAAAGTGCATCTTAAATCTGTGACATCTCAGAACAGGTAAAATATAGCATGCATAAGCTAGATATTGGAGGATCCTTATAGCAACTTCTGTTTTTTGCCCAGCATCAGCTGTGAAGAAGTCATCAACTTTTCTTGGAATTCCTAAAATCTTTTTGTACAAAAGTGTTATGGGGCAATATTGATTGTACTAAAGACTTATGATATATGGAGAGGTAAGATATATGGAGAAGGAATATTATATCATTAGTTGTATACTCTGTTCCCAGGCAAAAATAAAATCCCCATTGGACCAATTCTTCTCGCCTTTCTCAGGCCTCCTCTTCTTCCACTGAGTTTGACTCATTCTCTTTCTTCTACGCATGTTTTAAAAATCGTTTCCTTCTTCTGGTTGTTGGGGACCTGTGTATCATTAGGGCTTGTGTGTACCCCTAGTGCATGCTTACCAATGCTTCTTTTTGACATCTTCAATCTTTCCCTAGGAAGGAATTTTTATACTACTGCTAAAAAGATAAAAATATCTTCATGTTACCTGTGATTTATTTTCCCTCCCAATTGGCAATATTTGCTGCAGAAAAAGAAAATGATGAAAACCTCAGTCAGCAATTTAAGGCATAGATCTGTGTCTGGAAGCATAATTCTCTACTCATGGACCTTACCACAATTTCCCAAATCATAAAACTGTGAACTACTGCAAGAGAAAATACACCTAGACCAAAGGAAAGAATGACACATCTGATGTCTACTGTAATAAAAAATAGTATTTACCAATAAAACACCCAACTGTGTGATTTATTAAATGGAGGCCCTGCTAGAAATTTTTAACTCTAGAGCAAAGGACTTGACTGTACATTTTGCTTTAGGGTTTGGATTTAGTTCACAAAAATTGAATATGGCTGCTAAACCCTTTGAAAGGTTTTTGTTTTTCTATTTATTTTTTCTCTTGCATTAAGCCTGTGGGACTGGATACAGAGAATCAAAGTAGGTTGTTTGCTTGGCCAGCATCCATATTCCCCCTTCCTGCAGCAATAGTACCTTGATTTCCTTCTGTGGATTTCACCTTTTCCCTCACATTCTGCCAATGTTGTTTTGAAAGAAATTGACAAAGGTAAATCCTGACTGACCTGAGTCAATTTGCATAGCTAGCCTCTCGGCCACAGGAATTATCAGAGATTAGCACATATCCCAGTCAGACCCAATGAGACCTTTGCTGCACCTTCTGGAAAAAAGAAACCCTCTCTTTTCCTCCGGCCTTAGCAGAATGAGGGAGTAAAACCTCACCTCTCAAGTTGCTTTAGCCACTTCAGTGCTATGAGGAGGAGCCAGGCTGTGGATAAAGCCCACCCCTAGACGAAGCTGAGCTTACAGATGTCTGTTGTCCACATTGTTTGCACCCTGAATCAAGCCACTCCTAAACCCAGTCTTCCCCAGACTTTTCAGTAACATAATCCAATAAGATTATTTTTTGCTTAAATCACTTTGTGTTTATTTTGCTTGCAATATAGAGTCCCAAACAACATAATGTAGATTTATAGCATCTAAAATTCATTCCATATCTATTTTCTCACTCATTTTTAAAGCATTTACAGAGTACTTATTATGTGCCAGGTATTAGAAATAGAATAATGAATACTCTCCAGACCCTGACCCTCCAAAAGGACAAGCTAGAGGTATAAGCATGTGATACAATGTAATATGGATGATGTGGAAGGCACTATTAGAAGACAACAGGATGAAGTGACTAATTAAGCCTATGAGTGCCAACAAAAAAGGTTAGCAGGTGAGGAAGGGACATTCTAAGAGAAGTAAATGGCTTGTGCAAAGGTCCAGGAACTGGCATGGTACTTCTGGGAAACCACTGAGAGTCTGTTGTGGTTTGCACATGGGTTACTGAGATAAGGGCAGAGGGATGTGACTGGAAAGGTAAAACCCTTTATCAATTTTAAAGGACTTTGTACATCTGGTCATTAGTGATTTATGCACAAAAGGATGTCACTGTCAAACCCTGAACCAATAAAAAGATGCAGACATCTTCAAGTGGCAACACGAGTGTGTCTTCCTTGTCTAATCACCTGAAGCTGCCTGACTCCTTGAGATCTTGACTCAAGCCAGAGTTGCTCTCCTAACTAGGCCTCACTCTCCTCCCCCACTCTGTTACAAAGAAGAATTGTAAGGCTGATGCTGACAGCCTCCTGTGCTATTGTGCATTTCAGATATTCATCTGTGCTCTGGAAAATGGCTTGAAATTCTCCATGGAGAGTGCAGACAGAAAGGTCAACAATTATGCAAAATGAATAATGGGCTTGGAGCAATCAGGCCACACAGCTGTTGCAATGAATTCTCTGAAACCCGCCTGCCAGGTGTCTGTGTCCCTGCCCAATGGCCCTGGCCAGGCATCCAAAGCCAAGCCCTTAGTTAACTAGTATTCCTAGACAGCTAGGGGAGATTCTGAATGAAAGCAGAGAAATCAGAAAAACCACAGCTCTGTGTACAGAGGAAAAAAAATGTCTTCTTGAGGCTCCACTGAAGGCGTCAGTGAATAATCTGTTCTCAGAGGTAAGAGGTTAACCAAAGAGCCAAGAGTTAAAAACTCCAACCTGGGGCCAAGCCACATTTCAGTGCATAGCCGTGACAATGCCTAAAGTGACCTTCTATTCTAGGAGAACATCATATAACCTCCACTTTTTCTGTAGAGGGAAGATCAGTCCAGCAGGAAAACACTGCTGAGAATCTACTATGTAAAAGGTGCTACGGAATGCAGAGATGAATCACACCTCAGGGTCTAGGAAAGAATAGGCAATCAGCCAATGTGTGCCAAATGTAGATCAGCGAAGCCAAGTGCTTTGATAAAAGAGGAAGGGAGTTTCCACATATGGAGAGTATGGAATCTGTTCAAATAAATGGCTGTTCCACAGGTAGGTGGCATCCTCACTGATGAGGAAACTGAGGACCAGAAAAGTAAGTGATCCAAGGTAGGAAGAAGAGAGGTTGGAAATAAGTCCAGCCCAATTCCAACATGACACCATTTCCCACTTTTCCAAGGAGGGCAGAAAGCATGAAAACTCTTTCATAGGTAAACCTCAGCTTTTGAACTAGGATTTATAGAGTTTTACCAAAGCCAGAGTACAAGAAAAAGCACATCTTTCTATAATGTCACTGTCTTAGTCAGCTCATGATGCCATAATGAAATGCCAAAGTGGCTTATTTTTCACAGTTCTGGAGACTGGGAAGACTAAGATCAAGGTACTGGTCAACTGGGTTATTGGCGAGGGCTCTCTTCCTGGTTTGCAGACAGCCACCGTCTCATTCTACTTCACGTGTCTTTCTTCAGTGCATGCACTCAGGGAGAGGGAGAGAGAGAAAACTCTTTCTTCCTCTTCTTATAAGGCCACCAATCTTATTGGATTAGGACTCTACCTTTATGACCTCCTTTAACTTTAATTACCTCCAAAAAGTCTTATCTGCAAATACAGTTACATTGAGGATTAAGACTTTAACATATGAATTTGGTGGGAGAAAGGGACACAATTCAATCCACAGAAGTCACTTTTACTTGAAAAATTGGGAGATGGAGAAATTGTTTTTTACATCAAAAGAAACTCAGTGCTGTATGGCTTATAATATAAATTGCTAAAATGTTTTAAGAGGAAAAAGGGGGTCTCTTCTGGTTATACCGTGAGAGTTTTGAGGGCTTGCCTTTAAGGACTCTGTGAGGACAATTTTTGAGAAGTCTCAATAGAGGAGAATAGAGGGAGAAACACCTGGAAAGGTAGATGGAGCCAGTAGGTAGAGGGTCTTGAATCCCAGAAGGCATGAATCCCTGAATGCTGATGAGGCTGACCATTTTCTGTTAGTCACTCTAGTCTCATTTTCCACCTTCTCCCCTGTTCTGGGCTCAGGACTCTTGCAGGCTTCCTGCTCTCTAACTTCCCCTTAGGTTCCCAGCAGGGGAGAAGTGGGCAGGGGAGAATAAGGTCAGAGAATTTACCCCATCCCTCATTGCTGGGTCCCTGCAGATAATCTCCTTTACTGAAGGGTGTTTCTATACAGTTACTCTCTCTGGGTTATAGTCATCGGTCATTATTTCTTCCTTTTGTCTCTTCAATCCCAGAAGTAGTAATGGCTTCACAGTGCTCCTATACCTAGGGTACTGCATCACTTCCTAGCAGTTTTCAAAAATCCTATCCATACCTTTGCAAACAGTCCACTTAGGGATAGCTTCATAGGAGTATGACCCACACAGTCTCAGAGTCCCAAGTTTAGAAGTGCCTACACTTGCTTTAGTACTTGAGATTATTAATAATTTTTGAACAAAGGCCCCCATTTTTATTACTTTTATTTTTTGAGATGGGGCTTTACTCTGTTGCCCAGGCTGGAGTGCAGTGGCACGATTGCAGCTCACTGCAGCCTCGACCTTCCCAGGCTCAGGCAATCCTCCCACCTCAGCCTCCCAAGTAGCTGGGACTACAGATCTACACCACTACACCTAGCTAATTTTTGTAGAGATGGAGGCTTGCCAGTCTTGCCTAGGCTGGTCTCAAACTTCTAGGCTCAAGTGAT